CTCCGCAGTGTTTGCGGAGGGCTCTCTTGCAAACCACGACTGCGCACCGACGTGCCAGTTCCTGTTCCTGTTTGCCGGAGACTAAGGGGAGCTTGAACATGTTTTTAACGTTTTGCTTTCTTTACACCTAAGAAGCAGAGAAACTTAGCCTTTGCCAGGGTTTCAGTGCAGTACAGGAGAGGGGCTGCGGCCGACCCTGAAGCTGCAGGCCGTGCGTGACCTTGAGGCCGGGGCGAGCCTGACCATCTCTTATGGCGATCCCCAGCTGCCATTTAACCGTAGGCTTTAGGGTTTTAGGGTTTAGGATTAAGGGTTTGATTTACTTCAGCTGCTGTAAGAAGACTGCACCTGTTTGGTCGTTGTGGGGGCTCCTAAGCCCTAGAACCTAAACCCTAAACCCCAAACCATCCTAAACCCTACCCAGGACCTGGCGCGCCCGGTTTGGGAGCGCCGAAGAAACCTGCAGGCCTCGCACTGGTTCAGTTGCAAGTGCTCGAAGTGCATGCAGGACTCGAAGGGGAGGGTTTAGGGTTTTAGGCCTTTTTGGGTTTGGGTTTTTTTAGGGGTTCAGGGCTTTTGGGGTTTAGGGCTTTTTGGGTTTAGGGTTTTTTGGGTGTTTATGGTTCGAGGGTTGAGGGTTTATCAGTTTATAGGGTTGAGGGTGTTTCGGATCTCTATGAGAGGGTGTCCCCAAACGAGGGTTACCTTTGCCTAGTGACAGTAGGGATTATCGTTTCAGAGGATCCTCATTTTGGGAGAGAATCATATAGGCAGTGTAGAGCTGGGATTGAGTGCGGTGTTTGCTTGGAGGTTCATGGGACTTCTTAACCAATTATAACTGTACTTATTACCGTTCTTTTCACCATATCAGGGCACTTTAGGATCTACGTACAGTTCAATCGTTTCCAGGGAGGCTTTGCAGGATTTCGGGCAGGGTCACGCGCAGGATCTGACCGCGCAAGGCCTCCTGAAGCAAGTGCACCTTGTCAGTGATGCCAAGGGCCACCCGGCAGGTTCGGAATAGGGTTTAGGGTTTAAGGTGTAGGGTTTAGAGTTTAGGGTGCAAGGTTTCATCTTCCCATTTTCATTGGGCGTAATTAATGTGAAGCTGAGTCCCTAGTGCACAAAAGCCCTGCAACCCTGCAACTTTTACACCCTAAGCCTCTTAGCCCCTAAACCCTAAACCTGCAAACCCCCTAAACCCCACATGTCTCAAGGGGGGGCCAACCTATGACCCTAAAGCCCTAAAACCCGACAACTTCCGGAGCCCTCAAGCCCGAAAGCCTTAAAATCCCTTTCGGAACCCTAAATCCTAAACCCTAAACCCTAAACCCTAAACCCTAAACCCTGCACCCTAAACCCTAAACCCTAAACCCCATTGTTTTTGGGTTGGGGGGGCCGGCCTCGCCCTAGGACAGCTCCTACAGGCCCTCTTTGAGAGGACGCTGCCGGAGGAAGCCGAGCTCCAGAAGATGCTTTCCGTGTTCCGGGCCCTGAAGCTGCCAGGCCCCCTTTTAAAGGGAGGTTCAGGGTTTAGGGTTTGGGGTTTAGGTTTAGGGTTTAGATCTCGACGGTTTAGGGTGTAAGGCTTAGGTGTCAGGGCTTGTGCTCTAGGTTTTTGTCCATGTTTGGCTAGAGCTTAGGGTTTAAGGTTCAGGGATTCCGCCAGCTTATCTTACTATCCCGGTTCTCTCATGAGAGCTGCTACGGGGCCCTAAACACTAAACCCTAGACCCTAAACCCTAAACCCTAAAACCCTAAGCCAGTCCCTTGGGAGATTTGAGTTTGCCTTAAGGGAATCACGTCTAGGACTCTCTTTCAGAGGGCGTGAACCTGCAGCCTTGACCTTTCAAACCCCGACCCTGAAGCCCTAAACGCTACAAACTCAAGAAAGACCCTAGAGAAGGACCTTCAAGCCCCAAAAGCCCGTCTAAGCTCTAAAGACCAGGACCCTAGAAACCCTATACCATACCCTAAACCCTAAACCTTGAACCCTAAACCCTAAACCCTAGACCACCTAAACCCCAAACCCGAAACCCTAAACCAAGGTTGCCCTTTGCGAGCTCGGCCGCCAACGCCGCCGTGGGCGCGGCTTTGAAGGACTTGTCGAGGTGCTCTAAGTAGGAGTTCGGTGCCTTGTATCAATCCCTGAACCCCCAAACCATCCCTATCGAAATCCTCTACAGCGCTGTAATGCAAGATATTTTGCAGGGTTCATTCCCTAAACCCCAAACCCCAAACCCTAAACCCCAAACCCCAAAGCCTAAAGCCTAAACCCTAAACCCTAAACCCTAAACCCTAAACCCTAAACCCTAAACCCTAAACCCTAAACCCTAAACCCTAAACCCTAAACCCTAAACCCTAAACCCTAAACCCTAAACCCTAAACCCTAAACCCTAACCCTAAACCCCAAACCGTAAACCCTAAACCCGAAACCCCAAACCCTAAACCCCAAACCCTAAAGCCTAAACCCTTAGCCCCTGTAAGGTTGGAGCCCCTGGACCGCAGCGAAAGTGAGGCTCCCGGCCTGGAAGCGCGCGCCCGGAGCAATCTCAAGCTCATCCGAGGCGGGGTTAGGGTTTAGGGTTTAGGGTTTAGGGTTTAGGGTTTAGGGTTCAGGGTTCAGGGCTTAAGGCTTAGGGCTTAGGGCTTAGGGCTTAGGGTTTGGGGGTTTAGGGTTTCGGGATTTAAAGGGTTTAGGGTGTCGGGGTTTAAGGGTAGGTTTAGGGTTGAATTAGGGTCTCGGGTTTAGGGCTTTAAGGTATTAAGGGTGCAGGGTTTAGGGCTTAGGGTGCTGGAGCTCGGGAGTTTTTGGGGAGTCTTTCGCGTTTTGGGATGCTTAGAGACAGATTCTCAGGGACGTTTAGGGTTTCGAGACTGCCTGCTAGGCTTTAAACCCTGAACCCTAAACCCTAATTAAGCCCTAAACCCTAAACCCTAAACCCGAAACCCTAAACCCTTCACCCTGCACCCGAAACCCTAAACCCAAAACCCCTTCCTCCCTTCCCTGTGATGCGGGCATCGGAAGGCATTCTCGCCAAGCTGCTCCCAGCAGTCCATCGGGAGGCCGTGATCTTGCAGGAGCGGACATCCTAGCCCCTAAGCCCTAAACCCTAAGCCCCAAACCCTGAACCCTAAACCCTAAACCCTAAACCCTAAGCCCTAAGCCCTAAGCCCTAAACCCTAAACCTGAATGTGCCGTTTACAGGGCGCCCCCTTACAACTCAACACAACTTCCCCCTGGAAGGAGCTGCGGGGCTTGGCCCTGTCCACAGCAGAGTTGGCTAAGGCCTGGGCGCCTGTTTGCCTGGGTTTAGGGTTTAGGGTTTGGTTGCTGCTGGGGATGTTTTATCGAATCTCCCCGACTACTCGACTTCCCCCGACGGCTCCCCTGCTGAATAAGCCCCTTATTAATCCTTTTGGCCCGGGGGCGGGGGGTTTTGGCCATCGATCGTTGGTAGCCCGGTCTGGAAGAATCCCAAAACTTGACCACTCTGCATAATCAGAAGTCTTGTTAGAGAAGATAAATTCCAGGCCCAAACGTATGGCAATACTAATAATGGCTGATCATATGCAAAGTCATCGAAGTAGTAGCAGTCGTCGTCGTCGTCATCGTCGTCGTCCTTGTCCTCGTCCTCGTCCTCGTCGTCGTCGTCGTCGCCGCCGTCGCCGCCGTCGCCGTCGCTGCAAAAATATTCACAATCAGAAGAGATATAATATCGCAATAGCCATATCAATTAAACCCTAGGTTTAGACCCTGCAAGCCCGAAACCCTAAACCCTAAACCTAAACCCTAAACCCTAAACCCCAAACCCCAAACCCCCTAAACCCAGTCCTTGTTTGAGCAGCTCAGGACCCAGAGACTGTCTTGGAGATGGCAGGAGAGCTCCTGGATCGCTGCGAGCGCTGGTATGGCCCCCTCCATTTGAGCCTTGGGATTTTCGTGGGGGTTTAGGATTTAGGGTTTAGGGCCAGGGTTTAGGGTTGAACATTAGGGTTAGGGGTTTGGGGGGATTCATCTCTAGATTACGGGCCCATTTGTTTTTTTTTGGGGTGATTCCTCGCCCACGGGCTTCTGGTCCACGTGCGGCCCAGTTCTCTTTACAATAAGAATACAATAAGATATTGACCTGTAATCCCAGCTTGAAGCCCCAGACCTGAAACCTAAACCCCACGCCCTAAGCCCCATAAGCCCCAAGCCCTGGGGTCCGAGAGACCCCACGCCCTCTCCGAGGAAGCGATGCTCTCTCCTGCGGGCGCAGGCGGCCGCGCACGGAACCCTTGGCTCCAAGCTGAGGGCCGCGGAGGCTGCGGGAACCCTGGCGGAGCTCCAGGCTCGGCTCGGCCTCAGCGAGGGTGTCGGGAACTGTGCCAAGGACGTGCTTTTCAAAACGGGCATGTAGATATAGTTATAGCCATAGATGCATGTGTGTATATATATATATGTATATATGTATATGTTCCGATACAAGTGTTATGTTATACAAGAAGGGGCTTGCGGCTGAGAGGTTAGGGCCTAGGGTTTACGGTCTAGGCAGGTCTCAGGGGCTGGCCAGGACACCGCTGACCAGGAGGCAGAAACCGCGTTTGTGTGTGAACTGGATGCCATGGACTAGCGCACGACAGCTCGTGCGCCAGACATTGGAGCACGTCCACGACAGCAATGATGTCCTTGGCGTGTGTTGCTTGGCCGAGGACTCCGCCACTGCTCCCGGAACCATGCCAAGGCAGATGTGTGCAAGCGCGAAGCAGGTCTGGCTTGATGCGATCACACTCCAAGACTGATTCCATGATGCTCCCTGTGGTCTAAGATGGAAACCCACCACCATGCTCAAGCGGACGGCATCGTGACGACGAGAGATCGACTGAAGCTTCTCCTACTATGGCCGTTTCCGGCCCAGCATCATGGAGCCCCCATGCTTTCGGGTTTAGGGTTTAGGGTTTTAGGGTTTACGGTATTCTTTACGTTTCCAGGGTTGAGTCATGGATCTGTGAAGAACTGGAGATCCAAAGAATCCACACGTGCCGAGGAGTCGAGCGAGAAAGACCCGCTTTTTCAGGATCCGGAAAAAAAGGGGTCGGAAAAAATACTGATAGTATTCCCTTATGGTCCCTTTATAAATATACTTTAATAACCTATTGTAATTATTAAGGCCATCAATAAAAAAAAAGGCTCCTATACTAGCTGTGGCCGTAGCATCCGGCCGCCCTGCTGGCCACTGAGGCCTGCGCCTGTGCCTCCATCGTCGTTGCTGCCCTGTGTCACAGAGGCTGTGATTCGGAGTTTAGGGTTTAGGGTTCAGGGTTTAGGGTTTAGATTCCCCCCCCCCCCGGCCCCTTTTCCGAAGTAGCCCTTCATCAGAAGATGAGCACGGCTACCTTCAGTACATTTTCGACAGAGATTCAGGGAGCGCGTGGCTTGCCTTCCTTTCGCTGACAGGCCTGGCCTGGCTGGGTGCAGGTCACCATCTCAGCTGGACACAGGTGGGGTGCTGTTCCAGGGGCCGCAACGTACCATGAGATGAGCAGCCCAGGCCAGCCTTCATCTCAAAACTCTGTACCGGCATTTCCCAAAATAGGGGAGAATCCCCTTAAATGGACCCCCCCAAAAAGGGTTTTTCGGAAACCCCATTCTACCCTAAACCCTAAGCCCTAAACCCGGAACCCCAAGCTTGTGGTAGCTTATTCTCATGTTTGAGTGACCAGCGTCGAGTAATCCAAAGCCGAGGCAAGCCCGATCTGGAGTCGCTGCCTCAGCCTTTCTTGCCGGGCGTTTGAACCCGAAACCCTTCCCCAAACTTAGGGTTTAGGGTTTTGGGTTTAGGCTTTAGGGTTTAGGAACAGTCCATGACAGGAAGGCATCGCCAGCTGGACGTCGCACTGTCCTGCAGGACGGGAAAGTTCCCATGTGCCGACCCATCCCGCGAGCTTCCTTCACTTTTTGGGGGGGGGGGGGGTAGCAGTAGGGGTTTGGGGTTTAGGGTTTAGGGTTTAGGGTTTAGGGTTTAGGGTTTCGGGTTCAGGGAAATTCTCCTCTCCTCCTCCTCCACCTCCTCCTCCTCCTCCTCGCAACCCCCCAATGTTTCAATCTCGCCATCTCTCAGTCTCTGCCCAAAGCCCAAAGCCCTCTCAACCCTAAACTTTAAAGCCTAAAGCCTAAAGCCTAAAGCCTAAAGCCTAAAGCCTAAACCTTAAACCCTAAACTCTAAACCCCTACTCTGCTGCTGGTTGCAGAGGAGTCTGCAGCCGCAGCAACTGCGGCCATGTGGCTGAAGCCGGAAGCGGCCGAAGCCTTCAGGCCCAGCGCCGCCAGCAAGCTTTGCAGGGTTTAGGGGTTTAGGGTGTAGGGGTTTAGGGTTTAGGGTTTAGGGTTTAGGGTTTAGCGGTTTAGCGGTTTAGCGGCTTAGCGGTTTAGCGGGTTAGGGTTTAGGCTTGAGATTCGGGCCGAAGCCTGCCACTTTTTCCCGTATGAAGTAGGATTATTCGCGGCTATGTGTTTATGACGAGTATGATTCTTGAGTCATAAGAGGCCCACACCCAAGAATGTAAAATGCAGGGGGGGGGCCCAAGCCAAATCTTATACAAAGCCCCGCGCTCTTCACAATTGCAAATCGAGGGGTCGACTATTCTTTTCCCAACCCCTTCTGCGATCCATTCCGCGGATTTCCCGCAACTAATCTCGACGGGGTCTACGTCGTCTCACATGCACGTACTGGAGGTCTGCGAAGACTGGAGATTGCTCAGCTGCGCATGTGCTCTGGAACTTGAACACTCCGAAAACCTCTCCCATCTCTGCTTGACATGTGGTAAGAGAAGTGATGGAAGCTACCCATATCACGGTCCAACGAAGGAACCATGAGTTAGAGGAGAGGCGCACATTTTTCTCATGGTTCTCCTCCCGTGGCGTGCCGCATGCTTCGCGAATTGACTGTCCAGGGTGGATCGCATTTTCAACGCCAAGCAGCAACTTATTCCAAAGGTTCGATGCTTGCCGGCAAGTACATGTGACATGCGCAGTGTCCACATGCATCGACTGGTGTTAATCTGTATTCAGTAACAACAACAATAGCAAAATTAAGCATAAGCATCGTAACAAAATATGAGGAATGAAAAACACAAGAATCTCCAAAATAACTCGTGCTCAGAATTTTCGCAGCTGAACCCTGAACCCCAAACCCTAAACCCTAAATCCTAAACCCTAAACCCTAAACCCTAAACCCTAAACCCTAAACCCCAGACGTTTGCTTGCCCAGGAAAGTATTATCAGAAGCTGGAAGGCCTTGGCGAGCTGATTGAGGGTTTAGGGTTTAGGGTTTAGGGTTTATTGGCACTCCCTGAGCTTCGTTGCGCCCGCTCGCCTTCCCACGGTTTTTTTTGCGTTGCGCGGGGTAGACTTCCAAAGCCCTAAAACCCTAAACCCTAAACCCTAAACCATCAACCCTAAACCCTAAACCCTAAACCCTAAAAACCCTAAACCCGAAGCCCCAACCTTAATGTCTTAGCCCTAAACCCTAAACCCGAGGCCCGCTAGACATCGTGTGAGTTCTGGTCAGGCCTCCGAGATGATCTCCTTCTCCAGGTCGAGCTGGAAGCATGGGGCCTCAAAGACCACGCAGAACGCACACTATGTCATGGATTAGGGTTTAGGGTTTAGGGTTTAGGGTTTAGGGCTTAGGGCTAAGGGCTTAGGGCTTAGGATTTAGGGTTTAGGGTTTAGGGTTTAGGGGGTTTGGGGGGGTTTGGGGGATTTAGGGAGGTTTAGGGGGTTTAGGGGGTTTAGGGGGTTAAGGGTTTAGGGCGAAGAAGGGCCTGTTTCTGCACTTGCCTGAGGCTGGACAGCGAGTGGAGTTCAGGGCCCGCGGCCCAGATTGGAGAGATCAACCCTAAACCCTAAACCCTAAACCCTAAACCCTCAACCCTAAACCCTCAACCCTCAACCCTCAACCCTAAACCCTAAACCCTCAACCCTAAACCCTAGACCCTAAACCGCGGCAGGCCCGTCCCGCCGAGTGGTTCTCAGGTGTGGACAACAAGTTCGACGGGCAGCTCGGATGCGTTGTGGGGGGGCTTCGACTTCTTGGGGCTTGGGGGTTTAGGGTTTAGGGTTAGGGTTTAGGGTTTAGGGTTTAGGGTTTAGGGTTTAGGGTTTAGGGTTTAGGGTTTAGGGTTTAGGGTTTAGGGTTTAGGGTTTAGGGTTTAGCGTTTAGGGTTTAGGGTTTAGGGTTAGGGTTGAGGGTTTAGGGTTGAGGGTTTAGGGTGGGTTCTGAGTCGTATAGGTTCCCCAAAGTACCCTGAAGTGTCCCTGGACCCCAGAAGTTGACCCCGAAACCCTAAGCTTAACCCCCATCCCCCTCTTCATACATATAGAAAAACATTCTTGTTCACGAAATGCCGAGAACATCACGCTCATTTATCATTTATAAGTTAACCCTCTACCCTATAAACTCGAAACCCTGAACCCTAAACCTTAAACCCTAAACCCCAATCCCTAAACCTGATCATGTGGCAGTCACGCAGTTTCGCCCGTTGCGGCACGAGGACGTTCCAGGCCGCCGGGCAGCTGGATGCGAAGTACGGCTGCACATCCTACACTGTCCAGGCCAGGAGGGACCCTTAGCTTCGGGGTTTAGGGTTTAGGGTTTGGGGAGTCCCTAAACCCAAAATCCATCTGGCCCTAAACCCTCAAATTATCCCAAGAAAGCACTGTCGGTAGAAAAAGAGCAACTTGTGAACCCTAAACCCTAAACCCTAAACCCTACACCCTAAACCCTAAACCCCAAACCCCAAACCCTAAACCCTAATCCTTAAACCCTAAACCCCAACCCCTAAACCCTAAACCCCAAGCCCTAAACCCTAAAAACCCTACAAGCCCTCTCCAGTAGCACCTTGGGAGGCTGGGAGTATCGCCCTCGTAGCCCGCGGGCTCTGCACTTTCGAGCAGAAGGCCTTGGCATGGGCCCTGCGGCCTTCGGGATGATTCGGGATTTGGGGGTTCAGGGTTTAGGGTTCAGGGTTTAGGGTTTAGGGTTTAGGGTTTAGGGTTTAGGGTTTAGGGTTTAGGGCTTAGGGTTTAGGGCAGTTTAGGGTTTGGTTAGGGGTTTGGGGTTTTGGGCCACGCGCACGCGCGCGTGCTCCCCACCACAGCCACCTGCATTACTCTTCATTGGCTTGGTAGCCCAGAGGTACACTTTTGCCCTTTTTGGTTCAGGTTCCCTTGTCAAGTAACCAACCCCCCAAAGGGCACCTTTATCTTCGAACATGGTTGCTGGCTACCAAGTTGTGGTCCAGGGTTTACGAAGTTGATCTTCTGCATGCGGGCCGATGTAGGGTTAGGGCTTCGCAGAGGGGGGGGGCTCTTCTCGGGCCTTTGGTGTGTCAGGCCGAATGAGGTTGAAAACAGCTGGAAGAAGCTTTCGAAACCCCGGCAATTTCCAGTAGCCTCCTTGGGAGGCGTCGATTCCAGAGGAGTGAGTATGAACAGACAGGTTTATGCGGCAGAAATAGGGCCTCCATTTCCGACTCTTTTTGGGTTTCCCAGACCCCGGAGAAGGCCCTGTCCCAGACAGGCATGAGCAAGGTCTCGGAGAGAGGGGCCGCGTGGGTTCTTTCGCCTGGC